GCACGCCGGGCCCAACGCACTCCAATCGCAGCACACAACCGGCGCGCACCTGCTGGAGATGACTTCAAAGCCTGTGACTCAGGCCCAATCCTAGACCACTCCATCGACCCTACCTCTCCGTGACGGAGTGATCTCCGCCTGTAGCCACACTCGCAGCTTAACGTGGCTCCCTCCTGTCAGATGGAGGGAGTAAATACAGCGGCAAACTTTGGGACAAACTCCCCTCTTTCCGGCAGAAACAGGAAATGCCGTAACTGTGTGTAACAACGGTTTCAAATCAGCATCTCTTTGACAAAAAATAAAATTAATAACTCAAATAAAACTCCAAACATCTTTCATTGTGTTACTTTTTTGTAAAGCTCTTAGTTTTAAACCTGATGTTTATAAGCTTCTTAGTTTTTGCAACAGTCTGTAAATATACACAACTTTATAATGAAATGCACAGATTTACCTTTTTCTAGACTAAACACATGTATGATCCTAAGTTAAAAAAAGATGAGGTTATCATGAGGTTGTTAACATCGTAGTTTATCAGTGGATGTTTGCAGGAACTGTTTGTAAACAGCGTGTTTCCTGACGGACACGCACAGCGTTGAGTCCGGTCAGGTAGGGCAGCACCGCTGCAGACTCGCTGTTTGAGGGCTTGATAACCCACTCCCCCTCCACACTCGTTGGTTTGGAACAGCACCTCTCGGGCGGACTCTCTGCGCAAACGGAGGGGTAGGGGGTGGAATTGGGCCTTAATGACAATTTGTTTACACTTATCTCCCTCTCTTCATCAGTTTGTCCGATGGGTGGCAGCAGCAGCAGGCTGTTTGGTACGTTGGCCCAGTCCCTGAACAGCGCCCCCTTGGCCCAACTGGAGGCATACCCAGACCAGGACCCGGAGGAGCTGCTGAGACTGTGTGAGGAGGTCCTGCAGAGGCGTCCGGCCCGCCCACACCGCAACCTGGTCTATCCCAGCAGCATGGCCCCCCGCCACAAACAAAACTCGTCCATACGGATCATGCAGTGGAACATTCTGGCACAAGGTAGAGATGTAGAAAGCACTGCAATACACTGTTCGGTAAAACGGTACAGGACCCAATCCTGCCTGTATTGGTACTTAAAGAATAACAGTGTTCTAATATAAATGTTTTAATGAGAGCTGTCTGACAGCAGCGCTCTGCCTGAGATATAAGAACGTGTTCCTGGATTTAGGCAGGCTTGTCAACAAAGCACTCACTGAGAATGGTCCAATACGTACCTACCTTTGTTGCCTTTTTTGCAATATCATTGTTAATTTTTTCTAATGCCGATTAGCAAACTTTTTTTCTTTTATCTGATAGCTTGTTGTGATAGAGAATGGAGTTTGAGTTGAGAGACAATGTCTAAGACCACACTTTTTAAAGTAGCCTGTTTACAAGCTAAATATAAGCTAAATCTCCAGAGTTCTATTCAGTGAAATAACTATAGAGCTATTTTACTTTGGTTGAGACATTCATGTTCCCCTCAGGACAATCAGTAATCACTTAAGTGATCCACTGGATTTTCATCTAGCACCACTATTGTGTCCAATTGCTTTCAGTAATTAGTTTTTTCAATCATCTGCCAAACTAAAGACATCCATCATACTCTGCTGCAGTGTGTTCTTAATGGTAATGTTGGAAAATGCTAATTAAGATGTTTCCATACATTCTAGTCATAAGTACAGACTGAGGCTAAAATGAATGTCTCTGTGTTTCTTTGCAGCTCTTGGTGAGGGGAAGGACGGGTTTATTCGATGTCCATTGGACGCTCTTAACTGGGAGGAGAGGAAGTACCTGATCTTGGAGGAGATCCTTACTCACAGCCCAGACATCCTGTGCCTGCAGGAAGTAGACCACTACTACGACACTTTCCAGCCAATCATGGCCAGCCTCGGTTACCAAGGCAGCTTCCTGGCCAAACCCTGGTCCCCCTGTCTGGATGTGGAGCAGAACAACGGTCCTGATGGCTGCGCTCTGTTCTACCGCCGGTCACGCTTCTCTCTGCAGGCCACAGCTCACCTGAGGCTGTCGGCCATGATGCTGCCCACCAACCAGGTGGCCATCGTCCAGACGCTGAGCTGCCGGGCAACGGGCCGGCGGCTGTGTGTCGCCGTCACCCATCTGAAAGCTCGGAGCGGCTGGGAGAGGCTGCGCAGTGTGCAGGGGGCAGATCTGCTGCAGAGTTTACGCAGCATCACATCCCAAGGGGGGCCCAGCAGCCCTGAGGAGGGGGCAGGCCCCGTCCCGCTGGTCGTGTGTGGAGACTTTAATGCTGAGCCCTCAGAGGACGTGTACCGCCGCTTCAGCTCCTCCACACTCCGTCTGGATTCGGCGTACAAGATGCTGAGCTCTGACGGACAGACTGAGCCCGCCTACACCTCCTGGAAGATCCGCCCCTCTGGAGAGAGCTGCAGCACTTTGGACTACATCTGGTATACCCATGATGCTTTGAGTGTGGACTGCCTGTTGGACATTCCCACTGAGGAGCAGATCGGCCCCGACCGCCTCCCCTCCTACCATTACCCCTCGGACCATTTATCCCTGCTCTGTGACCTCAGCTTCAGGGAGGGCCCCCACATGCTGATGTAGGCCACCTGGACCAATAGAAAGACTGCTGAGTGGACACCCTTACTGTCAATCACAGCAGGGAAACATTGGAGCGTGAACCATTTCCAAACATAAGACACAATCATTTTTCTTATCTATTGCTATTATCTTAACGGGGAACATTAGAGAAATGAGACATGTTGATGGAAGAGCTTTTAGTTTCAGGTTTTTATTTAGATTTGATCCAGTGACCTGTCCCAAGTAACTTTTTAACTGAACGCGCTTTCTGTAAATGAACTTCAGATAAAAAGCCAGCTCGGGGATTCTTCTGCTGGAGTTTGAACACTGGACACCAATGCTATTATTACTTCTATTTAATGACTTGTTCTTTATACTTTCTGTCATAAGGTTATGCTTTTCCTATAGTGTTTTGAAATAAATTATTTTGAATTGAAGCAATTCTCCATTGTTTGTTATTTGGAGATTAGTAATCATGAAGATGTTGTTACTGTGACTCCACTGAACATGAAGAGACATTTTGTTATTTACAAATAAAGTCATTTTCACTCACTGATTTCCTGTTTGCCACAGAGTTCTGAAAAGGGATGATGTTTGCCTGTGTTCAGGAGCCAATTAGCTGGCAATTAGGAATGTGGGATGAGTCAAGAGAAGACGGTTCCCCACAGATACTGTCGCCACATACACTTTATGTGGCCTAAAGAATCTGGACAACAGTGTGTGCTTTCAACTTTCTGTTGTCTCTTTTGTGCTCGAACACAAATACTCTGCAGATCGCTGCTATCCATCTGCCTGCCAGCTGCTCAGCATTAGACCTACTAGCCTCCTCTGAAGCAGTGATGGAACAACCTTCCCTCTGGACTCGGCCACAACACACTCTTTTGTGAGGGAAGAAGGTCCACTCTGTAGCAATGCAGTATGAGCATGAGTTTCTGTAGTTCCGACACCAGCACATCATAACGTCTTTTCTCCAGCCGATCGCTTCTCAGGAATTGCATTCTGTGGTTTTCCCATATCAGTCATTGAACCCTACAAACGTAGTTTTGAACCAGGTGCGACCGAACCTACTTCCAAGAGAATATCAAATGTAAAATCATTCAGAAATTAAAGGAGGATGTTGACACATCATGGATGTGACTAAATAAATATTGATATTAAGATTTATAATTTTATAAACTTATAAATCTTACCTGCCATGGATGAAGAGCAGGGGAAACCGGGTGGCAAAGGGTCTTTCAGGGGGACAGCTGCCACTGAGTATGCCTGATTCTTTTTACATTAAATGATTGTCTGGAAGAAATGTCACAAACACATTAAATCCATAGTTATCCCCCCCCCCCGCCATGGTGTTTCACAGCAGCACAGCGCCTCTCTGTGGACGGATGCACAAACAACACTTATTTAAAAAGAGCTACTAAATAATTATCAAAATGTAATTTTCCAATTTTTGAATAAGACAACTTCAGCCAGTTGGAATTCACATTTGTTTGTTTTTTATAATACATATTTGCAGTAAAATCTACTTCAATACGCTGATAGTACAAGAAAAAAATAGTATATTATACTTCAGATATAGAGCACACCATTTACTTCTTTAAGCAGACATCCTTTCACTCCCTTTTTATGGACAGTAAAAAAACAGTGCTGTGGAGTAACAGGAAACAAAGACATTAACTCATACTACGTCTGTCCGATACACGCTGAGTATCAAAAATGCTTTTTACATTTCTGTTCTGGCTTTTTATATCACCTTCCATTACAAAAAGGTTATAATTTACAATCTAAGGCGGCCCATTTGGTGTGAGCTCCGAAGGGTGGGTGGGTGTGTGTGTGTGTGTGTGTGTGTGTGTGTGTGTGTGTGTGTGTGTGTGTGTGTGTGTGTTCAACAGTCCCTTTTATCCTCTGTGGGTTCGGCAGCTCCACAGTAACAGGATGCGTCTCCAGGAGACCAATGTCAGGCTGAATGTCTGAGCCAATCAGAGAGCAGCTCTGCTCTATGTGTGGGGTAGGGTGGGGTATGGGGGGGTGGGGGTGTCCTGCACTTCCTCAGCAGTGTCCACAGTCACTTCCTGCCTCCCACCCCCCCAGGGAGGGCGGCACACTCAGGAGGAGCTGGTGTCTGCTGATGGAGGCTCCGCTGCTGCCTCTGCTTGGGGCTTACTGCTGGGAGGCTTGGAGGGCTGGGGGGGGGTTTTAGGTGTGGCGAGGTGATGCTGACTGACATGCAGAGTGAGCTGGGGTAGATGCTGGGCCACCGCTGCAGGTTTAGCTAGGATGAGGTGCTGTGTAGGTCGGCCTGCTGCCAGCTGCACCGTGGGAGCCATCTTAGCGCTGGCTAACTGCGTAGCGAGGGGTTTGGTCTGGAAGAGCTGCGTCAGCTGGCCCTGCGAGTTGGCCTGCATGAGCGTAGCCAGCTGGTTGGCAGGGATGGTGATGATGGTGATCTTCTCTCCTGCTTTGGAGCCAGAGGGCAGCATGCTGGGCAGAGTCTGGATCACGAGTTTAGGGGGGGTGCTTCCGGAGGCGTTAGCTAACGTTACCGGGACCCCCGTGGTGGTGGTGAAGATGGACGAGGAGTTTAACGTCACCTGACCAAGTGAGTTCATGACCAAGGGCATGGCTCTGATGGGCCTGCAGGATCAGAGCAGAGAGGAGAATAATTAAGTTGCAGCATTTCACTTTGTCATAGCTATGAAGTTATTTATAAAATACAAAACTGGGAAATGATCGTTATTTGCTGAAAAAAAATTCATGTGGATCCCTTAATAATGTGCATATCAAATGTTTTCCTGGATATTCATCCTTCAAACGGAAAGGTTGGGTGATAGAAATGACAAATAATAAAAAAGGAGAGAACTGCAATAATTGTTTTGACCTTTTCTGCACTGCAAGAGAAACGTTGAGTGTGCCTTCAGCCAGCCAGCGCTCTACACTGATCCCACCACACAGAAACCAGAACCATACGACACCACACTCTTGTCCCGTTGCCTACAGGTTCTGCTTTTGTTTGCAGGTATCTAATCAAATGATCTGCTCTCAGCCAATCAGATGATATGGTTGAAATACAATTACAAACCAACTATTATCATTATTTCAATGCTCTAGTTTCTTGTCATTTTTTAAGCAGATGACCGGACTGATGGTTAACCTGGCTAAAGACAGAGAGCTGAGTGATGACAGTGAGTAGAGACCTGCTGGCAGCGCCGCCGGGGAGGACAGTGACGTAGGTCTGCTGAGGCTGGGGGGCGGCGTGGGAGAGGGTGCCCAGGCTGGCAGGGCCATGCTGAGCTGGGTGCTGGATGGACACTACGCCCTCGCTGTCCTCCACCTCATCTCTATCCTCCTCGTCATCTATCACTCGGATGTTCTTGGGCATGTCTTTGAACTGGTAGGCCAGCCGCTGCCCCTCAACTTTGGCAAGGATGCCGCGCTGGTAGTAATACCTAGACACACACACACACACACACACACACACACACACACACACACACACACACACACACACACACACACACACACACACACACACACACACACACACACACACACACACACACACACACACACACACACACACACACACACACACACACACACACACACACACACACACACACACACACGATCAGAGTTGGTGTCATGTGACAGGGACAGACCGTAGGAGCACAGGAGAGGAGCGCTGACCTCAGGGCTCGGCCCATGGTCTCGTAGTTCATGTCAGGCTTGTTCTTGTGTTTGCCCCACAGCTTGGACACCGCCTTTGAGTCCACCAGCTTGAAGATCCCCTTCTCCCTCTGCATCCACTTGATGTACCTTGGACAGGTGTTCTTATCCTGCAGCAGCTCCAGTAGGAACTCCCACAGATAGGTGGTGTTGCCTTTAGGACACAAAGCACAACATCAGTGATGTCTCCAGAGCCAGGAGCCACATGTGAGATCCTCAACAGCAAAGGTTTTCATAAAACACCACACACACTAAGACCCCATTTACACGGGACCGTAAACGAACCAAATTCGATATCAAAAAAGCCTTCTGTTCACACGAACAGGCTATACGCGAGAAAAAAGTAGCAGGTACAACCACTTTCGTTCTCGTGTAAACACCGCCTAACACAACTGCAAATTACTTTTACTAACATAAAGCATTCTGAACACAAGCCAAAAGCATCAAGTGATTTAGGTGAAAATGTAAAACAACATTTGTATTAAATAAAAAAGATGGTAGATAATGTTCTACTACTGTGATGTACAAAAGAATATAGAGATATTGAATGCTGCAATGAGTCCGAAAACCTGGTACTGAGTCAGCATTTCTCCAAGGTGGACGATGTTGTGAGGATAACTAGTCCGCTATTACAGCAAACAATTTTCTCTCAAACTTGAAAGCCAACTCAGGCCAGGCTAAGAGCGAAGGCTTTTGTAGAACATGTCAACACTATCAACATGTTGGCTATGTGTTTGTTACATTGACATTATGCAACCATGGCATCGTTTGTTAACGAGGACAGTTAGTACCAATACTACATTACAAAAAACTGACAAATGTGATGGTGTGGAGGACGAGGAGAGGAGTCTGCAGCCTAAGGGGAGAGGCTGTCCTGTAGTTTGGAGGCACAGCAGTGGATACTTCTGTAGGTGAGCAGACTGATCAGCAATCAGTTCCTTTGTTTTGCTTACGTTAAGCAGGAATTTGGGTTTTTGTGCAGCTAATAACAGCCCAGTTATTAAGTAAGCTGCTGACTCCAACCCTGCCGGGTTCCTTTGAGAAGAATGAGCGGCACTGTGCACGTTACCCTGTAATAACCCAAGACGTTTTGTCGAGGGAACAAGTGAGATGCCTACTCCTGGGTAGGCCGACAAGAGTTCAAGTTCAGGGACGTTCTGAAATGAATTTCTTCCTTTGAGGATTCAGTTAGTTTTAGTTTTTTGATCTACGGTTGTACCCTAATCTTCTTTACTTGGTATAGCCCAATGATTGAAACGGCTGGAGTGCTTTGCAACATGTAATTTATCTGGACATTATGTTAGGATTTGTTGATGAAGGTGTGTGCACCACTTTGACCAACCTTTGCCCTCCCTCGGCCTCTTCTTGATCCCCAGGTCAAAGGAGCCGTTAGAAGCAGGCTGGTTTGTTTTGGGCTTCCGTCCTCCTGCACACACAGAACAGTTCCATTCAAACCTAACGGGTCCCTGCACCATCCCACCTCATGGTAGCATGTGGAACAAGAGCAACAGCTTACAGTGTGAGGCTGGAGCTGTGTGGCCTCCAGCATGAAGGCCTGTGAACTAGGAATAAAGCACGGCACCTGCCATGAAGCCACACTCACCTCCTCTCTTCTTCTTGGCAGCAGGCTCACAGTCAGGAGGGATGGGGAAGGACTCCTCCTCTATTGGTCCACACTCTGTGGACACCTCCACCACTGTCTCCATCATTACATCCTCTGATGGGTTACAGGAAAATATGCAATATTCCATTACATTTTGAATACACAATTATAGTGTTAAATTAACAGATATGTTTATTTATCAGCTATATACTAAAGTTGAGATAAAGATGAATAGAGAATTGGCGCATATCATCTGTTTGCCAATGAGATCAAATGATGAAGGACTTCTCTACAATGAGCAGATTGCTTCATGTAAACATGTTTATATGGTATTGCTTTTGTTTTTCCTGTTAACTGCAACAGGATGTTGACTTTGTGGGTTAAGCCTATCACAGAGGGAATGAGACGAACTACAGATCTGACCTCTGCCCATCAGCACTGACACAGCTCCTGGCTGCGGTGTTTACCTGTGTTGCGGTCATTGTGCAGTCCTCCAGGAGACTCCATGTGGAGAAGAGCTTCAGCTGCTTCAAACGTTTTGTCGAAACACACCAGGTCATGTCCAGACATCTCCACTGAAGCAGGAGTAGAGAGAGCAGAGAGCTGTCAGTCTGCAGGCATCTGCAGCACATGCCCCCTGAGGGGGGGCTGCTACATCAACCACATTACAACACAGAGATCCGGCTTGGTCTATTATCAAAGCTTGATCAGTCTGTTCCGCCTGAGATCTGGTCTGAATAGTGAGAGGTTGTTCCTGCCAGAAGGTGGCAGTCTTCTGCTATCATCGCATCAGCAGCAGCTCAACCTCTCTAGTAGGGCTGCACGATATTGAAAAAAACTGACATTGCGATATTCTTTTCCCCTGCGATATATATTGCCGTGTTTTTAACTATATTTAACCGGATGAAGGATTTTAGTCACGGACGTCTGGATCTTCACTGGCTGACTCATCATACCTTAAGTCATGATCTAACATGTCATGATAATGCATGTTGTTTACCCTCAAATAAGGGGGTTCATCTGTGAATGAAGAAGAGTGGTGTCTAGAAGGGATCCAAGAGATTAAACGTATTACATTAAACTATAGGAAGCTTCATTATCACATTAGGGAATTAACATACGTGACCAAATAGGTAATTTAACTTTTTATTCCACAATTAAAACCTTTTTTGTGCAAATAGCAGCAAAGTAGTGGACATCTTTTAAACAACATTATAAAAATAAAATTAAGTGTTCTTAATTTTATTTTTATAATGTTGTTTAAAAGATGTCCACTACTTTGCTGCTATTTGCACAAAAAAGGTTTTAATTGTGGAATAAAAAGTTAAATTACCTNCTGAACCTGGTTTTTACCAAGCCAAGTAAAGATATGATGAGAGTAAAGGTGGAAGGCAGGTACTACTACAACTACTACTACTTAACAGCATCATGTATGGCTCATCATCCAAAATTCAAAATAAACTGTAATATATCCAGAACTGCGCAGCCCGCCTCCTCACCCACACCCGCTCCAGAGACCACATCACCCCCGTCCTTCAAAACCTGCACTGGCTCCCTGTCCGTCAACGAATACACTTCAAAATCCTTCTGCTAACACACAAAGTTCTCAATAACCAGGCCCCCCCCTACCTCACCGACCTGATCCACCATTACACCCCTTCGCTCATCTGAAGCGAACCTCCTTTCTATCCCCACACGAACCAAGCTCCGAACCTGGGGGGACAGAGCCTTCTCCATCGCTGCACCCCCCCACCCCCTCTATTCCCTTCCACAACACAGACTTCTCTCCCGGTCAATCAAATGGTCCCACATTACCTCAATACTCAGATCACTTCACTGGCTCCCTGTAGCTTAGAGGATTAAGTTCAAAATCCTCACTCTCTATACAACCATTCAATGTGTCACTGACTACAAATATCTTGGTGTCGTGCTTGATCACAAGCTCTGGTGGGATGTTTGGTCTGAGAAAAAATGCCAAGTCTCAACAAAGAATGTTTTTTTTACGTAAATGATTGACTTTTAATGTCGGCAACAGAATGGTTAAGATGTTTTATCATGTTTTTATTGACAGTGTGCTCTCCTTCGGCATCATATGCTGGTTCGGCAACGCAACTGAGGCACAGAAGAAGTCATTCAGGAGGGCCGTAACATTGTCCAGTAAATCGACAGGAATCTCATTTTCTATTCTTTGCTAATATAGAATGCTTATACAAGGACAGAGTTTTAAAATTGGCACACAATATTGTGAGTGACCTGAGGCACCCACTCGCCTCTTACTTCGAACTGTTGCCATCCGGGCGGAGATATCGTGCCCCTCTGTTCAAAAAGAACAGATCTAGGCTGTCTTTCGTCCCACAAGCCATCAAACTCCTGAATCAATGATGGCTAGGACGCACTGTTTACCCAGCTGGTCCTGTCCCCCCTATTTCGCAAATGAGGGCCTAGACCCCTTGTCATGTCTGCCGATATCTGTTTTTCTTATGTCTGTTCGTTTTAATCTGTGTCTATGTTGTTGTCAGTGACGTATTGTCTTATCTTTTTAAATGCCTTTGTGATGTACTGCAACACCTTTTCCCCTCGGGGACAAATAAACAAATACTACTACAACAGCCAAAATTAAAATCACACACAGGGAAATCAGAGTATTCCAGAGCCTGGGGGCCAGCTGCTGCGAAGGCTCGGTGCCCTCTGGTTTTGAGCCTGGTCTCGGGCACTATAGCAGCAGCTGGTCAGCCGACCTTAAAGCTCTGGCTGGGGTGTAGCAATGGATGACGGATAAGCCGCAGACAGCCCATTTAGTTTGAACTTAGTTAATGAACTTATTAACATACGTAACTTAACTAACGTTGTTCATTTGACATAATTTAAGTTACGTAAAAAACGTTTTTGTTTTAACACAAACCAAGAGTTTCGAACATAATGAAGGAGTTTGTTTTCAATTCATAACATTATTCTTGTTTTTAAAACGATGACTCGTCAAAGCTTCATTGAGAATGCAGTGTTGTTTATGCAAACGTCATTTAAAAAAGGGGATACAAGGTTATTTTCCATCGTCGTCCTTTATATTCAATCAATTTACTTCAAGTCAATAATCCCATGTAGAGAAAAATATATTATAATTTACAAAGTGAACTTGTGGTCTGGGACTGGCTCTGTCTACAGTAACAAACTTGTGAAACAAATCAACGATCATTAACTCCAGGTTACTTTATAACTTCAAGCCCCCCTAAAGAATGTCATCTGCATTTTAGGTGTTCTTCCAGGACCTACTTCATGGACTTTAAACATTCAATGATATGTTAAACGGTAAGAAAAGGGAAATTTGAAATTTGGAAATTTCAAACTAAAATGTTAGTATACTCATTTAATATGTGTTTTAGGATGTCTGGATAATCAAATCCAGATAGTTGTATGTATTGTAGACAGTTTCAGCAGCTTTGCATATGACTTTTCTCATTCACATAATAGCCTTGTTGCATTACACCCTATCAAAAGAATGCAGTAAAATGAGAAGGAAAGGTTATGTACTTTTGTTTTGTTTTAAAGAAGTCAATTTGACTTTACTTCTGCCCGCAGCAACCCTCTGTCAAGAGTCAAAAGTGAGTATTTGCCCCTTAATAATCTGGCAGGAATGCAAACATGCCTGGGCATATAGAAAATGTCAAATAAAGGTTTAATGTCAAACCTTCTTTTGTGGAGCCTCAGGCATGGGTAGGATTTTGGAGGCAAGAATGAAGGCAACATATCCATCCGCCTGCGAGGTCCTAACATTATTAGGTTATTTCTGATTTGAAAGTGGTTTAAAACTCATCTGAACTGAAGACATCAAACAAATATTACTAGTAGTGGATGACATTTAAGATGCAATTCACTCGGAAACCTTATTTTTCACGAGTTGTCTGAGTCAGTGTAGGTGCCAGGGGAGATTATATCAATGCGCACTGCCTTTGGAAAGTAGATCCGGCTGGACAGGTTTGCAAGTCGAGGAGAGGAAAAGTTAGAGAGGGGGACTGCAGAGGCGCAGCCACAGCCAGGACCACTAACCCTCTGCACGCGCAACAAACAGCCGAGAACAAGTGCCTTTCTGACCATTTTCTATTTCACTGACGAGCAAGTGTGCAGAGGGGGAATTAGGGCTATGCCTCGCGAGTAGAAAGAAAGTAGATTTTGTGAGTGGTGTCCTGTTTAATTCCCACAAGATGAATAAAGACTTGAAGAGCCTGAGCCAGCTCGCCGTGCCTCTGCTGCTTTTCGCCCTGTGCGTCGCGGTGCAGCGATCCGAGTCAGCGGTAAGTGCCTTTAAACTTCTTCTTTTTTGCAAAGATTTTTTACAGATTTAAGGGCTTTTCCCTCCGCAAACGCCCCGCATTTAGAGACCTACCTTCGGTCAGCCGGCACCGGGACTCCACCGGCTCCAACCACGATTTATAAATAGATAGGCTGCTTTATAACAAGTGCTTCTGCTCGCATAATAATCACATTACCGATTCTCCTGTTGGTGCATTAAAACAACCGCACGTTTTCACGCTGTTACAGAGGCTTTTGTGGCACTTTTTAACGACCTTCACGGGCTCTGCTTTGTAGTTTCATGGGAGAATCGGACGGAGTTTCTGTCCCTCTTTGCGCATCACGTTTCTTCCTCCCTGCTGGAGGCAACCTGTAGCAACACGCCGACCATAATGCACTTTACCCAGCCTGAATATACTTTAATTCCTGTTATGAATAACTTAAAAACATTAGATGTGTGTGTGGAGAAGTGTGGCAACGCTGAGTCCTCCTCTCCCTTCACTAGTGTGTCTTTAAATCAGATTAATAATGTTAATTCCTCCTCTGACACATATAACACAGTCTGATAATAGCCTTTTCTAAAACATCCTGTACGTAATTACGCTTGGTTTCATCCATTTCCACCCCATAAGAGCGGGAATGTGATTTTCAGCAGCTTTATGAAGGTGCATCTCCCATGCAGGTGTGTTTTATGTTGACAGCACATTCTTCTATTGAAGTATAGACACTAAAAGCCATCTTTATTGCTCCTCCTAACACCATGCAGACTTCGATTCTGTGCAGAAACAAGACTTTTAGTGGCTGTTTTACCACCTAACATGCCTCATTGAGATGTATTAGCATCCAGAAGGAGTGTGTGTGTGTCTGTGTGTGTGTGTGTGTGTGTGTGTGTGTGTGTGTGTGTGTGTGTGTGTGTGTGTGTGTGTGTGTGTGTGTGTGTGTGCGCGTGCATGCATCTTCCCTTCCCTGCAGCTCTCCAACTTCCCATGCATCAAACTCTCTGTCCGGCTTCTCATGTATAATACTCCAACTGGCTATCTGTGTTATGAATATTCCCACCTCATTAATAACTCATGAGCTGCATATTAGCCCCGCCCACATTCAAGGCGTGTCCAATCAGGTCTGCACACTAGCTGTTCATCAGTATGTATGGCATGCAGACTTTTTATGCTCCAGCTTTTACACATGTCATCTTGAATCCTATGGCAGTATGTCATTATGTAACAGTGAACAAATGCATGTTTTTAGGCCATGAACACCACTTTCCAGATGTCAGGGTGGGATTCAAGCCCCTCTTGAAGTTGCACAAAGTTTATACTAAAGCATTTTGTATAAATAAAATCCCAGGTGGCTTCCTCCCCTCAGTTTATACAGCATGTTGAAAACATACACAACTGAGGATCTTTTCCCTGCCTGCCAGGTGGTGTTCCTCCGCTGTGAAACACATTCAATCTACATTTTGTTGATTTTACAAGGGGCGGACATCATGTGGAACGCTTTAAATCTATTTCTCGAGGAGGTAAATAGGTCCTAATGTCAAAAAGCAAACATGTATACCCTTAAGTGTATCGTCAGTGACTAATAGAAGATGCTCTCTTAGTAGAATATTGATAATCAAGTGTTATCTCTTAAAGGAGTGTTTGGAGATGTCGTCTATATTACATGCGTGACAGAGGGGCTGTCATTGTCGCCATGGAGATGAAGGAGGGGGGTCCACTTTCTATATAGGAATGTGGCTGACCGCCTCATTCCGCCCCCTCTATCGTGACGTAGGATGTAGAATTTCAGACGGGAGGCTGACTATTGATTACAGTTACAGACACAGATGCATCATGTACAAGCTAAGGTTCACGCACAGTCAAATGATGTGAACGTGCAAAGACCATGTCATGAGACTCTTGGGCATACACACACACCTACAGATTGTCTCTAGACACTTATTCTAAGAAAAACGAAATACATTCGACAGACACACATTTTAGAATTAATGTTGGTAATTAAAGTGTTGAGAAAAAGTGATGAAGGTGTCGTGATGCAATGGCCTGATCTCCACACTGATCTGTCGTTCGCAACACTAACACTCACTATGAGAGACGAGCTCCAGTGTTACTGTTAACAGATGTCTTACCCGCACACACACTGACGACGGACACACAGCACTTCTTTAACACACGCGAAACAACATGCAACGTCCTTTGTGCATTGGAAGTTGAGGACAGATCAGTGAAAGGCCGAGCTCGCAGGTAGAAATGTTCTGAATTTAAGTGCGTTACAACGAACACACAATCCAGTTTTTCCTCTGGTTATGTCTGATCCGCACCAGGTTTCACTGAGGCCCCCTAGTGGAAAATCCATGAATGTATATTTACTTATAACCACTGATTTCTGTATTCGTGAATTTTAATGTATTTATTTTCACATTAATTAATGCGTTCTAAACATATTTGATACTACTATGTCTCCTTTTCTTTCCCTGAATTATGTGTAAACTGTCCTTTTTTTTGGCAACTTAACGGCATTCCTTCAATCCACGCTTAAGTAAGTACTTTGTGTCCATAGTATTATGTACTAATTGTGAGATCTGGGTATGCATGGTTTACTTTATAAAATAAGGATATCAGGGTTATACATCTGCCACTACATTTAAACATATCTACACACATACACACACAAGCCTGCTCTTATTCATTTAGTAACTTCTTAAACACAGATTTGAATGCTCCTGTCTCTAAGCGAGAGTGTTGTGTCTGTGAGTTGTGAGTGTGTCAGTGTGATGTGTGTGTGAGTGTGGTGTGGGGAGTGTGAGTGTGTGTGTGGTGTGTGTGTGTGTGTGTGTGTGGGTGTGTGTGTGTGTGTGTGTGTGTGTGTGTGTGTGTGTGTGTGTGTGTGTGTGTGTGTGTGTGTGTGTGTGTGTGTGCGTGCGTGCGTGCGTGCGTGCGTGCGTGCGTGCGTGCGTGCGTGCGTGCGTGCGTGCGTGCGTGCGTGCGTGTGTGTGTGTGCCGATGCGTCGCGATGCGTTTGCCGGCGCTGAACAGGTGTGTGTTCAGTCCTCCGGAGCTCCGCACACTGAGGGGCTCTCGCGCTCACACGTACCCAGGATTTAGCTTCACATCTGGGGCAGCAGGACCCTGAGCGCCCCTCCTCCTCTGGAGATGATCCAGGGAGGAACGCAGAGAGGTGTAGCCCAGCGGAGGACACTGATGCTGGGGTAGATCTGCTGCCGATCAGCCTGTTGTAGCTCCACTCTTCTCCAGTGAGTATCCCTGACGCCAGGAGCAGAGACGCAGTGTATTCATTTAGTCGCATTTCCACCGCTTTCAAGCAACTTTTGCGCCTCAGTTTGGATCGGGAAAAATAAGATTTTTTTTATGTAAGGATTTGGTGCATAATGTCAACATAATGAGAGGAAGTGGAAAAAACTGCAAAAATCGAGAAAATAAATACAAATACAAGTAAAATGACCACAAAATGCATAAAGATATTCTAAATATATGTGAATTAAAATAAACAACGTGTTGACAAAAAAACGAAATGAGTAAATACAAAATACTACAAAATGATATATCTGAATTTAAAGGACTGTTTTATAGAAAGAATATGAAATCAGAATATAAAAAATGTTATATATAAAACATTAAGACCAAGATGAAGGATGCATCACCATTAATGAAATAAGATATATTAAAAAAGAATGAATCAAATCAAATGGAAAGATCTTTATATAAACATCTGAACATATCCAAATGATTTCTAATATTTGCAGCAAAGAGATATCAGTCAACTCTGCAGCAGCATTTAATAAACATGTTGAATTGGTCGTTGTGGTGCGCTGAGACCCAGCCACGTTTCTTCTTTGTGGCTTTCTGCTGCAGTGAGCGCCTCCGCTGCAGAAGACCTGTATTCAAAGTGTCTCTGGTGGAAACCTCTGAGACTTTTTAGATTTCATCGTGCAGTTTTGTGCAGCTCCGACAGGTGTCTGTGTCTCTGGAGCTGCTCTGGGATCAGTTTGACGCTGGGATTTGTTTCGTCTGTTCTTCGTGGGATTTTGGTGCTTTTTGTCGCTGCTGCTCTCAGAGAACAGAGTAGATGGAGTGAAGGTGGGTTTGCAGTTGGTGTAAATCCTGTTTTCCAAGCAGCGTTGGGAAGAGTGAGTTATCGTGGCGATGCTCTGAAGTGTGTGTGAGGAACACGACGGAGCAGACGGAGGATTTCTCTGAGAAGGAGATATTTAGACTCTAAACGAGAGGAGGGAGGTGTGGGAACTTTTTGAGAAACCTCCTTCTGTTCCCTCTGCTGCCAGTTCACCTGGACACACCTGTGGAGGACTCATGTCTGTCTGTGTGTGTGTGTGTGTGTGTGTGTGTGTGTGTGTGTGTGTGTGTGTGTGTGTGTGTGTGTGTGTCAGGTCTGAGAGCAGGGCATCACGTTTGGCTCGGCGGTGGAACCGTTCTGCGGGCGATGCTCTGATCCTGAAGCCGCTGTTCTACACGGGAACCTCCCGATCCTCACTCAGCCTGGACAGGTACAGACACACACACACACACACACACACACACACACACCTGTTGCACACCTGTTTAGTGTTGCTATGTGGGAGAAAAGGAATGATAACATGCAAAATGTCTCAGATTTGACCTCGATTTCAGGGTGAAAACAACATTTGTTTTGAACTCTGCATCTCCTTATTGGTATGCTGCGTTTACTTTTAATAAACCTGATATTTTAAACTGGTTTGTTTTGGATGCATTCAGCAGTAACTGAACTGAAGCTGGAGCTCTGATTCCACCCTGTTCAGGTTTTAATCTGATATTGATTTAAACAGGACAATGTAAATCAATCTAATTAAAGTAACTAATTTAAGAGTTAAAGGTCCCGTGTCCCTTTCCACTGATCATAGTTCCATTGTTGAGGTCTACTAGAATAGATTTACATTGTTCAATGTTCCAAAATCACATTGGTTTCTCATACAGCATCTCTGTATAATATGTGTATTCTTCACTCTCTGTCCTACACGGCATGTTGGAGATCCTGCCCCCACCCCCTCCCTGTGAGCCCACTGTGCTCTGATAGGTCAGCTCGCCCACTCTGTTCTGATGAGTCCATCACTGTTACAGCGGAACATCAGTGTTTATGTTTTACAATGGTGTTAGTTAGCAACCAGAAAATGACACCAGTAATGACAAACAGATGAGAATGCTGCGTGGGGTCTGGGTGCCGTGTTGGCGGGACACATTTTATTTAGTAATTTCAGCAGATGTTAGAATATTTGAAACTGGATTGTGCTGTAACATGGTGTTTTGAATGATGCTGTGTCTTAGTCATGAGCAGGGCCATGGGGCATTCAAATGACGCCACCCACTGCACACACAAAACACTGACAAATCCATCCTGACCACATGTACTTTTGTTTTGGCAGGAATGAGTGATGACCTCTGTGGTAGTGTCAGACGGAGGAGGGAACATAGTGGAGTATGTCACCGTGGTGGAGGAGCACCAGGAGGTGAGTCTGTGTTTCCCAAAACTCTTTTCAGGGGAGTCAGCAAAGCCTTTCCAGTTGAAAAAGATTACTGGAGACGATACCAGAGGTTGTGCCGATCCAACAGATTTTGTATTTAATAGAATAAAAAATGCAGCTACAAGGCTAATTCAAAATCAATGTTGCATATTTGATGTAAATATGTTGCTGTTTTGTGCTTTTGTGTTGATTATAAAGCTGGAACAGTATCTGGATAATAACAGGTGTATTAGGTGCAGCCAGTTGAACTAGACTAGACACTATGGATGGGCTATGATTCAATGTTATACGTTCCCTGAAGTCTATCATGGCAGTTATGGAGACATTGGAATGAACGCAGGCTAGTAATCTCTGTGTATTCAGAGGAAAAATAAATCAACAAGTGAACCATATACAAGAAAAGCATAGGGGAAGGACTTCCCACGACCAACAATGGATTTCCAACAATCACCTTGCCTCTGAGTGTGAATGGGTGAAGGATGACTTCTGTCTAAAACTCTTTACAAATGCAGATCATGGAACATGACAGCCTTTGACAGCTTACACTTGTTTCTGCCTGGCTGCTGATTGGTTAACTGCTGATTGGTTTACTGAAGTTGTTTTTTTTTTTAAATATAGGTGGATCATAAAAGGGTCTCAAAATTCTGTTCAGATCAGATTACCATAGCATTACGTTACTTGTGTACGACTAACGTGTTTATTTCACACTTCAAGGAGAAGACATTGACTCTAACTCAATATAAAGGGGTCGATCTGCCTGATTCTCTTAGTTTTGTCATTAAGTTTAAATGCTGTTATCTGGGAACACAGGGACTTAGGAAATTCAACTTTTCACGTTTCTAAACTGTTCAGTGTGAGCAGCAGCCCACTGAGGAGGAAGAGGAAGAAGAGTTGGTTGAGCAGGAGATCGAGGCAGTGATCGTGCAGGGCGGAGAGGAAGATGTGGACGATGAAGACAGCGTGGTGCTGCAGGAAGAGGGCTGCCCGGCCGTGATCGTGGAGGAGGTGCCCAGTGCCCAGGTGGAGGAGTGCTACTCGGCACAGGTGCTGGTGTACGACGACGGGACGTACCTGATGCAGGACGTGGCCGAGGAGCAGGAGGTGGTGACGGAGGTGTCTGAGACCGGTAAGGTTCACTTCTCTCAATGTTAGATCTGACTGCCAAACAATACATGTATGAATAGATCAGCGTCTTTCAACTTTTCTTGGCAGACCAACAATACAAAAAATGCCATTGTAGCCTAATACAGCATATATCAAGACAATTTCATTACGATTCCCTCAATTTGGCCACAAGTTCAGCTCATAAGAAGATAGCGTTAAGAGTGCTCTCAGAAACCTTTGTGTTTTTTTATTACTAAAGTAATCTGTTTGATTTGGCTTGGGAGCACGGCACTGCTGGAGTTTATTTTGCAGCAACTAAATCATATTTTCATGACCGATTTCAACTGGCTGCCCGGGTTTTCTCCTTTGTTCCTGGTGCTAGGAGAGAAGCTAAGAGTGAAGGCAAAATTACACAAATTGAAAAAAGACTCGGTAGTCTACTTTTTTATTTTCTCTACTGCAAACCTTCTGCTCACCGCGACTCCGTGATTGAATTCTCAATGGACGCTATCCATCAGGGGTTCTGTACGTTCAGTGAGAGCGCCCACTGCTCCACAAAAGGGTGTGAGCGTAGAAGTTTTACATCTTGTGTGTGAGGAAACACCAATTTAGATCCAGTTCAAACTAAATGTTTTACAAGACATCATCTAACTTTTTCATGTTTCTCCTGCTGCTAATTATGTTATAATTATAACTATGTTTCCAAATTTTCCTTTATATGGATTGTAAAACTCCTCTCAAATTGAGTTCCATGCAACAAACCTTAACATATATCTTCCATTTGACTTTCTGAAATGTGCCAAGCTGTATTGAGACGGTAGCTCTAGACCCTATAGAGCAGGGGTGGCCAACCCGCGGCTCTTTGCCTAGTTTCATGCGGCTCTTCAGTTCATATCGAATTTTATATGTGTGAGTTTGGTGGAGAGACACTGACTCCTGACTAGTGTTGCACGGTGTACCGATACTTGAAAGGTATACCGCGATACCCTGCCGTTAAAAACGCTACGATTCCTCCGTTTCATTAGTATCGGTACTTTAAGAATGACGGGGGAAAGTACTCCGGTGAGAAAGCGCCGTTTTAATAATCCGTGTGTGTTCAGCGCTCTGCTTCCAATACCTGCACTGCAGCCGTGCCTGCAGTCCCGCCCCTCTCAAGCACGCTCAAGTGCCTCCCCTCTCTCGTGCACGCGCTAGCTGCCAGAGCATGTGAGAAAACGAGAAGTATGGCTGCAAGTGGGAGTGCAACTGCCGCTGCGCCTCGGCTTGTTGACAAAAACGACGCCAGAAGCTAAATTTTGATGTATTTTAGCTATATCTCTGACAGTGAGGGCAAGCCTACGGACACCACAAGGGCCTGTCTGTAAGAAATGTATTAATTTATTTAATACGAATTCTTATTTATTTTATTTATTGTTCTCATTGTTTAAAAGTTTGTGTTATGGTTATGCTTCTGGTGTGAAATAAAGCACAATAATTACATTTAAGACTGTTTCCCTTTTTTTAAGAAAAGTATAGAAAAATAATCGGAATCGCAATTTTTGACTTGGTATCGGTATCGAAACCAAAATGTTGGTATCGTGAAAACACTACTAGGTAGGTCTGTTAAGTATTGAATGCTGATAATTCTGACGTAATTTGGCCGGTCATAGTAGTTTGAGGGGGGGAAAACCTATCGTTGATTAAACACTATCCAGCGTTTTCCTACCATTGTCTTGGAGGGGAGCTGCGCCCCGCCAACGGAGCCCCGCGCCCCCCCTGAAATTCAAGGTGTTTAATTATATATATATAATTTTTCTTTTTTTAAATATATATATATATAGCACCAAATTGCAAATCATCTATAACTACTGTCACTTTTCACATTGAACATGTGCTCTTTTATTAAATAAACTAAACACTTTCATTTTAAGTTTAGTGTTTTTGACCCTAAGAAACACTGATGCATTAATCAATAACAATAAACCACAGCTCCTCTCTCTGCTCCGGAGGACTTAAAAAAATTAAATATCCCAACAACACCCCCCGCTCAGACAGCACCCCCCCAAAGCATCTAATTTACAAACTATAAAGGTCCTCTGGGAAAGTAACTGGGTGACGACCTCTTTGTCCTCCCCCCTACCCTTTCAAAACAGTGGGTAAGGTTACCCGATAATAATCCGGAATTATCTAATGCGTACCAGTACAAACAATTTTTACAAACGTCAGCGCTTTCGAGATTCGGTCCCCACGGTTGGTCAGTCTCCATTCTCCGGGTGTAAAAAGATATAATGACGTTTCTCGGTGTAGTTTGTGTGTCAGTGACTATGGCGAACAAAGTCAAAAAAAAACAAAAGACCTCTGNGGGGGCAGGATCTCCAACATGCCGTGTAGGACAGAGAGTGAAGAATACACATATTATACAGAGATGCTGTATGAGAAACCAATGTGATTTTGGAACATTGAACAATGTAAATCTATTCTAGTAGACCTTAACAATGGAATTATGATCAGTAGAAATGGCCATGACATGGGACCTTTAATTTAATTTGGGGCCAACTTCTGTAAAGTTAGGAAGAGGCTTGGGGGCTCAATTTACTGTTCTGTACTAAGCTTATACGACGTGCCATTTAATTTACATTTCTAGTTTTTTTAAATAATTGTAGTTTTCCTATTTACGGCAGAGGCAGGTATCCTAAATACATGTTCTGATCAAACAGGAAGCGGGACTGAGGCTCTGACAGCTCTCGCAGCGCGCAGGCTGGTGTTTACTTTCTGCTCTGCGCTCTGCAGCTACACTCTGGAGCTAACTCGCTAGCTACCGCCAATGCTTCTGCTACTCACTAAACAGTTTCAAACTAACTTTACTAAGGCTGCTCACAATATGCACTTTGTTATCTTACATCACATATTCAGTGCCAGAAAAAAATATCAACACTGCATTCTCATTTAAAAGGAGACTACCCACAACCGAATCACAAATAAATGGCTAGCTTTAAGCTTAGTAAATTAGCTCCAAACAGTTAGCAGATAGCTAGCAAACACATATACCGCAAATAAGGTATAGTTTAAAGCGTACATGTTAAGGAACTGGCAAATAGCACACATTAGGGTGTTAATATTAGATGTTGTAAAAGGTCACACTGCTGATATAAATGTCCTTATCTTACCTTGTTTTGCTTTTGCTAGCGAAAAGTAAGCTCCGAGGCTAGCGCTGCCCGGGCCTAACGTTAGCCAAGCTGTCAAGGCCAAAATGCTAACTTCGCTCGCATAAACAAGTGTTAGGCTTTCCTCCGTTCCTTAAAAAGACTTTAAAGACAGGTATCGTCTTCCCGCGCAGAAACGTAAAGGGTAGACGTAGATGCAGGCCCTGCAGTTGTTTTGATTACAGCTCAATTCTCGCTATCCTGTAGCTTTCCGGCGCGTCGCCTCTGCTGCAGCGGATCCAGCGGGTCAGAGCACAGAGCGCCGTGACGTCACGAGGACAAACCCCAACAATGGGCGTCGCATGGCATACTGTAACTGGGTTTTATATTTATGTATTTCATTACTTTATATGTCTACCCCTGATGTCAACCTTTTTGTATACAAAAAAATATATAATTAATATATATGAATGTTCTTGAATACAAAAATGTATCAAATAAAATGTTTTACCAAAGAGACCACCACACAAACCACATAAAGACCCAAAGATAAATAAAAAAACAAAAACAAAGAGACAATTCCAAATGACTACAACGAGTCCTAAAGTGGCAAAACAAAAGCATAAAAACATTTACAAAAGGACAAAAAAAACAGATAGATGTGTAAAGACCAAAAGATCAACACAAAAAGCTATTTGTAATGAATAGATTTGACTCCACTGAAGAGAGGGGTTCACAGTTAGATGCTATTGACACTAAAAGTTTTTTGTTCAAGGACATGTATTACATGAGTTATTGTAACAATGCAGAGCCTGGTTTGATTTGCCCGCTCTCACCTGAGAGGATGGTGTTCGTGGTGCTCAGAGCACTGAGATCTAACATTAGAAAAACTCACTGAAACATTTTCATTTGGAACACGTTCCACTTGAGAACGAGTCCTTGTCATGTTGACATGCATTTACCAAAGTACTGTATATCAGTTCACATAAACTCAGTATTAACATTTCGTTTTACTTAACTCAGATGGTGAACTTTTTAATTCACTACGACTGTTTGACAGCTTTAGTTACTTCACAAATTAAGTAATGTAATACAAAAACTACACGTTTCATAAATCTACAAAACATCTATATTAAATAGTTCAAATTAGCAACATCATATAGTGAATTACTCACGGGAGACATACTTTAAAGGATTAATAATGCTTTATTTTTAATGGAATATCTTCATACCACACAAGTAAATGATCAAAATATTAATTCATTTCTAAGAAAATAAAAGTTAATTTAGGTCCTGTAACTATTTCACCAGCACTTACTATGGTATGACTTGCTTGAAGTGAATCTATCTGCACTGTTGTTATCCTTAGTTTGAATCTCTAAGGTTCTTTGCACTTATTGTGAGTCGCCTTTGATAAAAGCATCAGCCAAATGTAATGTAAATACCTTCCCCATCACTACAGGAAAGACACGTATCTGTCTAGTCAAATTGTATTATTCAGGTTCAAACAGTGAAGTTTCAGTGTCAGTTACCCACAATTACTCCAGCAGTGGGAGTTCCTGTCCATTTCTCTAAATAATCAGGGTCAACGTCAAGTAAGCAGTATCACAGTTTAACACCGATCACAGCTAATCTGCTTCATCAGGAGAAGGTAGGTTTGATCAGATCTGATTGACAAGAAAACAAGCTGTCAGATTTAGATTTATTTGTTAAATGTTTCTGCACCTCACATTACCTTGAACGTTTTCTCAGTAAACCAGATGGTCCTTAGTTTAGCAGAAAAGTTACAAAAACTCCAAACAGCTTTTACTGTTCTAGTTTTGGAGAAAACTAAAAAAGGTACACAGAAGTGTTATCAGGCTGAGCTTACACCAACCAGCATACTTATCCTCAACAATGTTTACACAAAATCCTTTAAGTCATTCAAGTGTTCCTGGAAAAAGTTGGTGAACTAAAATTACAACACAAAAAATAGGTTTAATCCATCTTTATTTTGCAAATACATGCATGTGTGAAGCAGTCAGTTTCTGTCCTTTGCTTAATCAAAGACATCAACTCACATCCCGTAACAGAAACCTGCCTGAGAGCCTCAACAGACAAATTTACATTTTCAAAATACATTACTAAATTGTCATATTTAATTATTCTCAGATATTTTTCAATTAACATAGAACAAACTAACAAAGCCAGCAATCCAAGAGTAGAGGGGAGAGATCTGAAAGAGGGCCTCAAAGAAGAGGGGACAGTTTGCATTTCACACAGGAGACTTTACTTCAGACAGACTGCAACACTTCCCATACACACCTCACGTCACACAAGCACATCAAGAGCATTACCGAGCGCACATGCCGCATCCTTTAAAGCACACATCCACACAGATCTGACTGAAAGCAGAGTGAAAGAACAGAATGCTGCTCATACATCCTCCATCAACCCACTGACCATCCTCACTGAAGCAGCTCTCTAGGAACACACCAGCTTCCTCAGGGGTGTGTGTGGAAAAGAACAAAAGGTAGAAGGACTTTTGCACCATTATCTTCCAATCAGGAAGATGTCCCTTATATTGTATACATTCACATCTAATCATCAGATTGTCTATATCATTAAGGATGAACAGAGGGTATGCAAACACTGAACATGAAAAGGAAAACAGCTGCTGCTCTCTATGGGTCAGTGTCTGGTGTTGGTGGAACGAACCTGCTGTGACATCACCGACTGGGGAAGCGCTTTAGAGTTTACCCATTGAGAGCAGAGGAACACATGTTTCAGTGTTGAATTACCATTTAAAAAAGGGAAGGAAAATAAACAATGCCTGCTTTATAGGAGAGTTAGGGCGCTCCATGAATTGGCTTTGCAACTGTGTTGTTGGCTCTGGAGCTGCAATACAGACTGCTTCAAGAAGAGGTACAGTCGCTTGAATGCTGAAAACATAAGGAACAGTGAGGTAGCCAGGTGGCTGTGGTACATGCCGTCTCTCTAAATCTTTACTAAGTAGAAGAAAAACCTGAGGTCGGGTAATTTTGGTGAATAAAAATGAACCTAGCTTCTTTAAAATATAACACTAATTTCACATTAGACGTGGCTAGGCAGAGCATGGGTTAACAGAATGTGGTGCTGTATGGAGGTATTCCACGGAGTGATTCGGAGGCAGTAAACTCTGTAACAGTAAGAAGAAACGGTGACTGGATGGGTCCGTTTTTAAAACACACAAGGTAACAGGTTGCAATTCACTGAAGAAGTGTTAGTGAGGCTGGTGAAGGAAACACCTGAGATCTGTTTATCTACGGATGAGCCAGGACATGGAGGTCAGTGTGGAGTGTCACAGTAATGGGCACTGCTCACATGTTGGTGAATGGATCCATAACGCAGGCTTGGGTCTGTGCGTTATTTATATTTTAACACTGGAACTGTATTTGTACTACTACAAGTCCCTTTGATTTGTATTGGGTAAAGGGAGGAAGGGAAGATGTTGGAGAAAGGCACATCCTCTCCTTCTGGAGGATATTAGGTCATCATCCAGGAGCCGTTTACTGTGATGGAGGACAGAAACGAAAACGTCATTAGAACTGTCTGCGTCAGCACATTCTGAAAGTGTATCCATTTATTACACAATTCTAAATCATTTCTAAAGAGCATTTGAACATGAACTACAGGAACATGGATGTGAAGGGTGGACATGTTATAAATAACAACTGTCATGTCCACAGCACACAGGATAAGGTTTGTTCAGAGAAAAACAAAGAAATGTGTAAGAATATTTACTTTCTTTACATTTTCCTAGGTTATGACCCATTTGAACAAACTAAACATTACTTATCATTCAACCTTTATCTGAACCGACTTGCATACAGTACTGCAGTCGTGCATGTGGGAGCAATTTGGGGATAGGCATGTTGCCCAAGGACACTGTGGCATTTAGCCCGTTTGAATTACGCCTATAAATCCCCTAAGCCACAGCACCCCCCCCCTCCTAAAAACTTCTGCCAGCTGAAACTCGGGCACCATGCAAAGCCTATGCCATTATATCAGCAGTTGCCTGTTTCTAACATATTGCCCTTCCCTTCATCATATTAATCGATGGTCGGAATAATAAAGGCTCAGTACCTTATTTGGAACTACTGCTGCATTTGCATCCTAAGAAGACGTCGCCTACCCTGAGTAGCAAAGTTTAAAACGTGTTAGAGTGACTCTTTGAAAGCCCACGCTGATTGAGGGCAAGCGTCAACATGAATTTCATTTCTCGTTAAACCAAAGCATGATAGTCAAAAATAAAGTTAAGACTGCAATCACTGGGAAACATTTGCAATGGACTCTTGTCACTTGTAAACTGATCTTCATCTATACACACATAGATCAGTCTGAAACAAAGTTCACTGGTACCTCAGCAGGGGAGCGGTCCTCCTCTGGGGCTGTGATGACTCTACCAGTCATGGAGCTCACGCCCAGCACCTTGAGCCGCTTCTCAGCTTTAGGTGCTCCTTCAAGAACCACAACGATGTACTCTCTCTGGGGACCCTCTGCCAAGGTCTCTGCAGGGGCTTCTACTACTGGTGCCACCACTACTGGTGCAGGGGCTTCTTCTACTGGTGCAGGGGCTTCTTCTACTGGTGCAGGGGCTTCTTCTACTGGTGCAACCTCTACTGGTGCAGGGGCTTCTTCTACTGGTGCCACCTCTACTGGTGCAGGGGCTTCTTCTACTGGGGCCACCTCTACTGGTGCAGGGGCTTCTTCTACTGGGGCCACCTCTACTGGTGCAGGGGCTTCTTCTACTGGTGCAGGGGCTTCTTCTACTGGTGCCACCTCTACTGGTGCAGGGGCTTCTTCTACTGG